TCAGCCTACCGGGGTTTGTGTGAGCGTGAGGGCAGGTGTTTGTGTACACTTTTGTGAGAGTGTGTTAGTGTCTGTTGATCGTGTGCTCACTGTCATTCCATTTTCTCATCTCTGAAATGGAGTAATGAGTCCAGATGAGCTTCTGGAAGGCTCTGCAGTGCCGCTCAGCCTGACTCCCCACCTGGCCGGCTCCTCCTGGCCTGTCCCTTTATTAGCTTCCCCTCATGCTGGACACAACAGGAACAGCTTGGTACCCTCCTCCTCTCTTCACCACTCACACTTCTCCCAACTCTATTTTCTTGCTAATTACCTTGTTGTACAGCACCAAATGCTACCTAACGATTCACCTAATTGCAGAAGTGGTACATTAGATGATATCAAAGGACCTTTTTAAAAGTCATCCAATCCCATTCCAAGCGGCATTTAGAACCAACCCAAGACATCTGTTTCATTTCTGTGTCATTTGCATTTTTAAAGGTTACAATCTGAGGGAAGCGGGAAAAGATACAGATCTACACCTGAAGATTATGTGTGTTGGTTCGTTAGCAATCCCTCTCTGACCAGATACATTACATGTAAATACACAGATAACAACCATGTCAGAGGGTCTGAGTCACAAGACTCAATTATAAGTGCAACCTGTTCACTCTCAACACACTCAACACACCCATGCTACATATCCACCTGGAAAAATAGGGCTAATTAACATGTTCCTTGAGATCCTTTCGCCCCAGGTGTGCCTTGTCACCCTTACATATACAGAGATATCCGCAAAGCTAGCAATTTATTCAGCAGCGGCGGCTGCAGCTAGCATTTTGAACCAGGCTTCACAATGATTTATGAACCTGCTCATTGACCTAGTTTATGCTGAAAAGAGAAAAGGGAGCACATCTCCTCCTATATGCGGCATATTCATCCCACGGAGCTGGCCTGCAGTCAGTTTTGGAGAGCATGGCATGTAGAATGAGATTAGAGCGTTCAGATACCCTGTAGGCAACGTGTTTACAAGTTTCCTATCTTCGGAAGTACAGGACAGTGAACAACACCTATAATGAAATGTGTTCCCAAATGCAAGCTATGTCCAAACATTATCCTCACACTCTTAGATAACAGAGGGCAGCTCATGCTCTTGCCTCCCCAGTTGTGAACAATATCTGTTCCACATCCAACACTTAAAGGAGACAAGTGGGAAGACTAGACCCAGTAACAGCACAAGTCCTCCCAATCTGGCCCACATTAATAATGCAGAGGCACCTCTCAGAGGCCTCTTCCCCCTCTTCCTCTCCACTCTACCTTTCCTCCTCTTACAGAGAGAGTGGTGCCCAGCTTGATGTCCAGCATGCAGCCGTGCCGCTTTGCTCAGTGCACACCGAGTTCAATCCATTTCAGAGCCGCAATTAAATTATCTCGCCAGGGTCCTGCTCAACCACTCGTGAACGGGAGGGAGCAAAGGTGTGTTCAATATGTGGGAGGGAGAGGGAGGGAGAAGACGAGGGATTTAAGGGGGGGGCATATCATACACACAATCCCAGTTCAGCATGGATATAGATTTAAATGCTGCTTTTTCCTGTGCGATTAGCTGTGGCTTAACAATCACTAGACGGATGTCAGGACCTGATAAAGCTAATCACTGCAGTAAGCCAATGCTGCGGGATTCAGTAGCCCACCCCACCTTCTGCTCCCCCAGCCCCACTGAAGACATGGCGAAAAAAGGAAACAGAGAAAGCCTAAGGCTCTAAACTACCCAGCATGGAGACGTCCATAACATCTATAATAGCCTTATATCTGGAAAAACTAAAAATATATAAAGAAATGGTTGTTGAAATGTCCAAGAAATTCATATATGATATACTTTATAGTATACATATCATTACGTCAGTATTTGATCTACAATTAAACAGCCTATACAACTGTATATTTCAGAGGATGTATAGTTATAAAGTGAGGGGGTGCACTCAAACTATGACAAAATAGCTCTATGGCAACAATAATGGCGCTGTGCTGATTCTGTCCATTCTGGTGCCTGAGGCCAGACACTTGATTGGTTCAGACTCCAATCCTGCAGATCAGCTTCCGGACATTCCCGCTTAATATCCTTTAAACTAGGCTACTTGTCATTAAAGTTGCAACAAGTCATTAAAATCTTATTGTAATACCCTTCAGGTATATTTCCTTTATTTTTCCTCGTGCCCTCAATGCACTCTATTGCCTCTAAACGCTATGATCCATCCATATTCAAAATGCTTTTATGAACAATATTCTACTTTGATAAAACCTCATTTCACTGTCTGTCATGACATAATCAAGTAAAATAGTGACTGTCCTTTTTGAACTGCACTTGACCCACCAGCACAACCATTTCCTTCACCGACACTCCATCAGTCAGGCCAAGACTGCTGTCATTCCCAAACATGTGCCTCAGGTCGGGTCAGGTCAATAGAAGTTCAATTGTGTGAGGTAATGTAGAGCCATTTTCGTTTTTGTTTTGTACGTAGAATTGGAAGATCGAACACTTTGATAAACAATTAAATGTAGATTGGGAGTTGGTTTAATTTTCTTTTTTTATGATTCTTTAATGTGGAAGGGTATTTGGGTTTATGTACAGTATGTGGCCAGTACAGTAAGTGGATTGATGAAAGGAGACAGAATAATGTCTTATTTGGAGCCAAGGATGTTTTTTTGACAGAAATAGCCATGGTACATTTCTTTATCCCCGTTTCCCAATAGTGTGGCTGGGGACTTTTGCCCTGGTCCTCTCTCTATCAAACCCAGTATTGCTTATAATACCAATCATTAGGGATGTCCCGATCACCTTTTTTTGCTCCCGATCCGATTCAGAACAGATAACGGCTGGTCATCCAACGCGATGAATTCAGCTATCTTGGCTGTTATTTTTTTGGCCTTTTCACTGTTCTGGGGCAGTTTCTCTTTCCTTTTAAAAGTCTCTGAAAGTGTCGGTTGTTTCAGTGCCGTTACCTGAGTGGCCGCTGTGTACTCGTCGTGTTGTTGTTGGTGTTTGTTTCTCAGGTAGCGTATTAGATTGGTCGTGTTGAACGTAGCTCTGTTCTTTCCACTACGCGGAACCTCCGCCTTGCAAACATTGCATCTGGCTGTTACACTGCCTTCGCTTTCAATTTTATAATACTTCCAAAGTCCTGACATTTTCTCTGTCCCGACTCCCGAGTCACCAGCTGAACGTAGCCTCTCGTTAGCTTACTGCTACTATTAGACACTGCGCCCACTCTGTTGATTTGAGAGAAATAACCAGGTCTGAAAACAAGCCCAAAAGAAGCAACACATACATGGTGTTGTGTAATTTTAAACCAAAACTAAGGCCTCAGGATGACTTTAAGACGCGAACATGGTCATTTTTGTTTTGTAACATTAAATAATAAAAATATTTTATATAAAAAAATAAAATAAAATAAAAATGTCCGATCCCCGATTTTTTTCTCCCGATTCCGATCTTTTTAAAATCACGTGATCAGCTCCGATCCCCGATCACGTGATCGGATCGGAACATCTCTACCAATCATAAATGTTTTCTTATTTCTTCACCTTCCTTATCCCCTTATCTGCAGGTTTCCTGACCCCTCACCTTAAAGCCATTCATGGAGACAATGCCTCTATTCAACCCCCTCTGCTCCTCGACCCATATTACATGAGAGAGGGAGAGATAAACTGAAAAGAGAGGCTTAAAAACAGTATGAGAGGGGGAAAATAAAATAGTCTTCATACATTTTTCATGAATTTTCATTTAGACTGGGAGAGCCCTCTTACAGCAATCGATAGATCAAGCTGCTGTCATGCAGTTAGCACCTGGGGGCAGCTGGGAGGCCCTCAGGAGGGCAGGGGACTGAATCCGACGCAGAGATCAACCCCCCCCCCTTCAACACACTAAGTCCATTTCCCAAGGATAACACACCTAAATCCCATTTACTTCCACTGATCATTGTAATCACCTTATAAATTATTTTACAGGTTCTCCTAAAAACATAGACAATTTCTGCAGTTTTTTTGTATGTTCACAACAATCAAGAAACATCTTCTCAACAAAAAGGCTTCTTGGCTAGCATTTGGCTCTAATAATGACTCCACAATGACTTAAGTTCATACCTACTGCAAAATGATACGTGAAGCATCCAACAACACATTTTATAGTGGGATTATCTCATGGACCTAGTCCCTGTTTGAGACACAGGACGCCCCAGGTAAAACAACAAAACGACACAAAGACTTTACACTCCACCTTATGGGCAGTTGAGGTGCCTAGGAACCGCTCCATAGGAAGCCCAGCCTGAAGCCTGTGGGGGGGGGCTCATCTTCAAAGGTCATTTGATCCACAGCTCAGGTTCTGCCTGTCAATGTTCACCAACACAGTCCAGGCAGCTTGTGTCAAATGTCCCACAGGACTTTGATCTGTGCCTGTCGTTCTACCCCCACTCACCTGTGGGAGACCCATATCTACCATACCATCATGTCTCTCTCATATAGTCTGAGTGTCTGCAGACCACTTCAATAAAACTCCCTTGAAGTAAAAAAAGATCATATTTAATTCAAGTGCTTGCTGGAGAAATACTCTGTACAACTAATTATTCCACCAAACTCAACGTGAGAACACCTCTGAGCTTAACTGTCCCTTTAAGACCTACAGGAAATGAGTGCAGTGTTTTTATAATAATAGAGAGCACAGAAAGCAAGATGAAGTCAACGCTTATAAAAAGGGTCATTTCAGTTTCCTCAAATACATTACTGATTTGTTTACTGTTATTCCCTTCAGTAGGGACGGCACTTTCCATTATGGATAAATGGAAGAAAGGGATAATAGATACTGCTGACAGGAAATGTTAAAATTGTACCTCTTAATTCTTTCTTGTGCTACATGTAAATCCAGTCTTTCCATCACCAGGAAGCAGATGATTTTTGAGTTGAATTAAATACGCAAACAAATTTGAATCAATGCCACAAAGAAATGAAGAAGAACCAGGAGAGTGACTCACATGCTACTTCCAAAGAGGCGTTGCGGCTGATGGCTTCTCCCAGGTAGTTCCGGGCCACACAGACGTAGGCTCCTTCATCCGGCTTGCTCCGTCGTCCATGGACGATGCGCAGGAAGAAGAGTGAGCCACTGGGCAGCAGCATGCGGTGGGAACGTGGGTCGTCTTTGTCCGTTTCCACCCGCTCTGCATCCTTGTACCACTCCACTGTCGGGGTTGGCCGTCCCTCAGCTTTACAGTTGAGGGTGGCGGGCTCCCCCTTGGAGACGATCAGGTCAGAGGGGTGCTCCACAATCCGGGGTGGGGAATCCTCCTGGCGCAGACGGGATCCTGAGGGAGAAAGGAGAGATACAATTAGTCATAGAATATTAGTGTGAAGAATTTAAGCCTAATTTTTCCGATTTGAAGTCAGAAGCATCTTCCATTAACATATTAGCTACCAGACCACTGTTTGGAAAAATAGGGAAAAGATAAGGGTTACATTAATAAAAACAACTCAAAGTAGCAGATTGCATATCCTTCCTAGCTAAACCTCAGGATAATACAGAATGAGCTACAGGATGTTGCAGTTGCACAGGTGCATTGTTAATTCTTTTTAAATGAAATTTGTAATAAAATGATGTCAAAATAATATTATAACTGCCTAGATGTCAATATTTGTAAGCAAAACTATGAATACATTGATTAATAAAATTCACTAAATAAAACAACTGATTTGTAACTGAACAATGATCTGCATGCATTACAGAGCGCAGCTGCCGAAGAGGTTTTCTTTTGAAAACTGTATTTATTCAAGTACTTGACCGCAACTACTAACTGCTAACAATATCCTGTGTTTCTTACTAGCTGTCTTCTAAATGAAACAATACAAATCAAGGAACAAAACTGTTTTAATAACTTGAATTAACAAACTAACATTATTTATTTTTTTACTCAGTGCCATCGCTATGCAGAACTGGAGAAACAGTGGTAAATGGATTCATCACTCCAACTAAACCAAAAGCTTTCTTTGTTTAAAAGCATTTTAAAGAAACATATATTGGACCCTTTAATCACGGTTTCAGCCATCTGCTCTTCTCACCCCTATATGCTGAGGCTTGTTGGTAATTGGACCCACGGGTGAACAGTGAGTGTAGACAGTCATCTTACATCTAAACTAATACACATACAAATCATATGTTTGGTTTTCAGCAAACAAGTCCACTGTTGTAGAAGTGTACATGTGACATGAATATGAATGTCACGGTTTAGACTAATGTCAAATGCTAATCCCCTGTGGCTGAAAACCTTTGCCCACTCCCTTTTATTAGGGCTTGCAGTGGGTGAGCTTTGGGGTCTGGCAGCTGAGATAATGGTCCCCATGTCAGAGTGCTCTGTGTGTCTGTGACCCAGCTCTTAAACATGGAGATAAGAAGCTGTAGGCCACACACACACACACACACACACACACAACACACACACCACACACACACCACACACACACACACACACACACACTACACACACACACACACACACACACACACACACACCACACACACCACACACACACACACCACACACACACACACACACACACACACACACACACACCACACACACACACACACACCCACACACACACACACACCACACACACACACACACACACACAGGCCCTGGGAACCATGCAACAATCGAGGAGTTTGATCCAGCATCAAACAATCAAAGGCACAGTAAAGGGAATAGGGGATAAGGCAAACTTTTCCAACAGCCTTTCCTTTATCCTCTTTCCTTTGAACCACGTTCAATACCCCATCAATAACTCTTATTCCATTGGCAGCAAAATATTAACCAGCCAGTGTTTTTATTAAGTAGAGTGCTTGGCCCTTTGTCTTAGAATTAGTTGTTGCAGGTGTGCATGTGATTGAGCTGAGTTGATGACTCTGCCCTTCCCCGGGGCAGTGCAGTGGGGTAATGGGCAATGCCTGCTGCACATAAGAGCAGCGTACCACATGAGCCTTTGTGCTTATGTGAGGGCTAATTTCAACATGGAATGAAGGCAACACCGTGGTGGCTTCAGCTCTTTGTTTTCCTGGCTTTGCACATGTCCACTACCCCTTAGACTTGAATCTCGAGGGAAAACTGAGACACGCCATACCCTGGTCTTTTGTACTGATCAACACAAAATACACTTCAAAGATTGGTGTGCACACAGACATACATGCACACACACTCTGTTTAAATGTGCACTAGTCCACTAGTAGTCTGGCATCAAACAGTGGCATATTGACCCCGGAACAGGAGGTGGTCTGTTCTCTCTTCTTCCTAATTTGGGCTAATTCCATCCATTTCCCCATCATTGATTAGTGATCAGGCCTGGTGTCATCCTCTAAGTGGGGCCAGAGACAGGGGTTTGTAGGAGGGAGGGGGTAGTGATATCCTGATATCCAAGTGCATGATCTAATCACAATGGTATTATGTGAAAATCTGAAAATAGACTATTTGAAGTGTAACAAAAAAACCTTTAGTATGCTGCTGTTGCTGGCAGTCTTTACAAAATTATTTTCAGCAGTGGTAGGGCAACAGGCTCAAGCAGTCTGTTTCCCTGTCAGCACAGGGGCAGAGGGGCAACTTTGTATTCTGGCAGTAAGTGACCTAATAAATGAAGCAGTAATTAACACGGTGACATTGATAAATGGAGGGCAAGATAAAGGACAGACACGGAGACCCCCATCTCCCTCAGATGGAGTGTCAAACGCACATTTATTCTTATCTCATTGGAGCATCTGCTTCCCTTATAATCCACACGCCCCGCAGTGGCTTTCCACTAAGGCCAATGCGCATGCACAGCACTAAACTGTGGCGACTCCATTCGATTTATATCAGTCTAATTTCTTTAAATCCAATTTGTATTCCAATCTACTGCCTTCTAATCACTTAAACCTCGAGTCTCCATCTGCTCTACTCTTTCCGGTGGAAATGAAAACAGCAGATGCCTCTACAATTGTCCTTTCACTGCCAGAAAAAGCTGAGCTGGGTGCAAAGAGGGCCAGACGTGACTGGACAGTGTCCTTCCTGGGTAAACGTAGTCAGGTGTAGAGGTAGAAAAGGTTAAAAGCATGTCCATATGCCATGAAATATGTTTTTAAAGAGGCTCATCAATCTTAATACTGGATAAGACAACATGTGAACCTTAAAGGTTGATGAGCAAGCTTCACTTAAAAAGTACAAAACCATTATGTCATGTGTTTGTGTTTTTTTAAACTGGCTCTCATGTGGCTCCCACACCATAGGGATGATGCCCAAGAAGATCAAATAAAACAAAACATATACAAACACATATATAGCATACACATCATCCTTCATAGATATATTTATATCCCCACCACCCTGGCACCAGGCCGAGATCCTAACGGCCCGTCTACACTACAGGCGTCAAAAAAGCTTGAAGCTGGGCGTGTCTGAGGCTTGGCGATTTTTTGCGAGCAACGCGACCAACAACCAATCACATGAATCTCCCGCCCCCGACATACAAAGCAATAGCAATGTTAAAACGAAGTAAACTGGATATAAAATCCCCAAACAGGCGAAAACCTACCAGTTCCACCCACTGTCTCTGCCACCTCCCTCCATGCCTCGCTCCTCCGGTTTGTATCCCGGTAGATCAACAGAGACTGATCATACAGCACCGGGTGATTCACTACCGCTATAATGAATTTTCCCTCCATTTTTTTGAATATGAGGAAATGACCTGCGTAGTCTCTCCCAGCATACACGCGGTTTGATTGGCTAGCGCTTGTACAGGCATATTTGCATAAACGGGATTTCATTGGCTGACGCCAGCTTCGAGCAAGCATCGAGCCTCAAAAGTTGAACATTGTTCAACTTTTGACGCCGATAGACGCTCGCGATGCTTGCAACGCCTTGCCATGCTACCCACAATGCAGTTCGGCGAAGTTTGAAAATATCCTACGTCACCCCATTCAAATGAATGGGCGAAGCGTTGAAAGCATTTTTTGACGCCTGTAGTCTAGACGGGCCGTAACAGAAGTGAAAGTCAATTTTCAGCTTCCTATTGGGCTCTCTTTCTCACTCTCTTTACGGTAAATGGGCTTTCTGTTGCCCTTTTAATGCGATCATTGGTGTTGTGCAATCAAGTGCTCTCTGAGCTGAGGCGAGTGCACTTCACTGGGTCTCAGGGCGCAAGCTCCAATCAAAATGCTGTGTTTCCCCCTGCCTGCAATAACACCACCATTACTTTTCACCACTGCTGTGCAGTCATCCTCTGCTGGAGGAGAGCAGGAACCAGAGAACAAACAAACAGGCACACAGACAGAGAATGAGATCAGAGAGGGATTACTGAACCAAACCCTGATTCTTTTCTGCCTTTTTACTTTCAGACTACTTATGTCAGCTTCAGTGTGATCAGATGCAATGTAGCTATCCAAGGAATGTGGGGTTTTACAGCATTACATATCCCTGTTATTTTTCACCATCCAAATCATGTTTCGCACTTTACATTAAATATAAAGACATACAAACATAAAAGGAGTACATAGTTAAAAAATAGGTCACAGTTGATGGTCAAATCCAGGATAAAAACACCACTTAGCTTGTTACAACAGCTTCTTTTCCCTCATGCATGTGACCACACACATAGAAGAGCTCTTTTCTATTATCTTTGTCACATATGTATTCATGTGTGCAACAGAAGGTCAGGCCTTTCATGATCTTTTTGTAATTATTTTTATTAGCTCCCAGGAGAAATTCTAGCCCACCAACCAAATCAATACCTCCACCAGTCTCGGCCAGAGCATAAAAGGAAGGGCTCCCCAAAGAGATATTAGTTATTCTGCCAACAGACGCGTGCACTGATCAGAGGTAACCCACGGCAACCTCGGACTACAGCAAAAAGTTCAAGTCACTGAGGCTCCATAAAACATCAAACATGAAACCCAAGGTCCAGGCCAAGACGCACTAAAACTATAAAAATGGACACTGAAATGGCAAAGGCTTAAACCTAGCAAACTGAGTGAAGATATAAATGTACTTAAAAGAAAAATGAATTATGCATTACATCCATGCTGTCCATTCTGAAATATATTATCCTCCCGCCCTCCACTTCTGTCTCTCTCCAACCTCCCATTCCATCTCTTTCCCTCTATTTTTATCTGCCGATATCTCTCCGTCTCCTCCACTTGCTCCCTGTCCCCATCCTACCCTCGCTGTGGGGGTGACAGAGTCATATCCGTCATGTCATCAGAAGGGAAATGTGAGACAGCGGCAGGGGGGAACTGGGGGTGGCGATAGAATGATGTTACAGGCCGTCCTCGCCTCTCCACTGGCCT